ACGTTTTCACACAGACACAGCGGGATGCTAAAAAGAGACCAGAAAAGAATAAATCTCTTGCTACAAGCATTTACCCTTTGGACAGGAGGGATGTGGGTGCCAAGCGCTGCTGCTGGCTGGGCTGTGCTGTCTCCACTATACAGCCCTTGGGCAAAAGTCAGAATAAAGCCTTTGGCAAGTCACCTAATTCCCTTCAGATAGCATGCAAGGTGCCTAGTATTTTCTAGGCACTTACAAAGGGTGCGGATGGTGTTTTCAGGACTACAGTTTAGGATATATAAGTACCTAGTTTACAGGCACAGACTTGTATTAGGCCCCTGTCTCCTCTTTTCAATGTGGTCCACAGAAGTTGTTGCCAGACACAAACTATAGGAAAGATGAAGATAATAGTTTGTGTCACAGCAGTCAGCAGAACTATCTCACAGTAGGTAGGAATGGGAGGAAAAGCAGGAATATTTTTTCTTTTGAATTATTATGTACTCTTTCCTTCGATCAACCATCTTTTCCCAGTCTGTCATAGCAGAATAACCACTGCAATGGCCTGTGTCTGTAAGACTGGTGATCATGTGTGTGCATGTTTCTATACTACAAGCAATACGTGTTTAATGTTGTGTTGGAAGGTTAAATAGTAGCCAAAACAGTCAGAAAGGAAAGAGTCCTCCTGTCATGCAACCACTCACAAAGTAACGATGGAGCAGAGCCCAAGCCTGGCTATTAGACATACACCAAACTTTTGGTTAAGCCTCAAGTGTAGATAAAAGTATTGGCAATAATGATGCCTCTTAACTGAGAGACCACTTAACTTCCACTTAAGCCATCTGATGGTATTTAAGAGTAATTTAAACAGCCCCTCACACAATGTAAATCCAAAGTCTTCACAAATTAAATGCCACCAGTGAAAAATAGATTCATGTTATATTTTTTTAGAATGTGTGTGTGCCTTCATTTTAATTGCAAGGAGCAGTGTTGTGCTACAACATTCAAGCTCATCAAACACAAGACTTCGCTCTACCACAAGGTTTCCCTATATGATCTGCTTGGGTGGGGGTGGTAAACAAAATGTTTCTTAAATTCACAAAAAACATGAACATCAATGGTTTTGGACATTACTAAAGTACTGGGGTTTCTGATTTTGATTAGATATCCCTCATTGTCACTAGTCTGCTTGTTTGCTTCACAGTGCTTTCAAAATATTGACATTGAGGATTATAGACAGGATTGGTTTAATACCCAAGTTTACATCAACTTCTGTGAAAGGCTTTGGGTGAAGAAAATGCTGAGGGTCTATTTTAGGAAAAAATACCTTCATTTGTTATTCTCAAACATTTTCAGATCTCATTCAAGAACTACATTTAACACTAAATGTTAAACTCATTTAAAAGCGTTAAACAAAACAAAACAAAACAAAAACCAAACAGGACAAAGCTGAGATGTCACTACAGATGCAACATTTATATTCAACCTGAAATGTTGAATTTTGAATGTTGAAAGTTCTGCATTTCAGTAAGAAACAATGAAAAACACCTGGGTTATCCCAATCTGAAAGAATCTTCCTTCTGATTCTTTTTAATTGGCTCTGAATATTAGACGTTTGCATAACACTGGTTCCGCAGGCAAATCCCTTAACTATTATTTGATTTTGCTGAAATGGAAGAGACTGGGGAAGAAGAATTTAAGAAAATGCGGACGACCAACAATTTTCCTTTTCTCTTACCTTAATTTACTTAAGAGCTTTGCTCCCAGACTAGCAGCCACAGTGGAGACTTCAGTAAGATAAGAATACACAAAAACTTTGCAGTGGTCAGACTGACTTGATAGCTTGTGATGACATGAAAAGAAATCCCTTCTAACTGGACTTGCAGTCCAGGCAATGCCGCTAAAGCTTTGACTACAGATAACGTCACTTAGCATTGTTATCTGTAATGAAAAGCAAATAGAAAAGTCTTCCACCATACATCCGAAGTTACCTAGGACCTACAAAGAAAGTGCCTTCTCAGAGAAAAAGCTTTTTAACCAATGACAGACTTCCTCTTAAATAATTAATTTGAAGTATTTTAAAATACTGTCATCCTATGCTCACCATTTTTAAAACCACCTTCTGAAAATAATATGCTTGTGAACATACACCTAGTGTTTGACATCGCTTGCTTAAACCTTGCACACTGTAATTTGCACAAATAACACTTACAAACACAACTGCCTTACTGCATTAGAAGCAGTGACATTGCGTTCACAGTAGATACAAGTTAACTGTCCAGGTGACTGCTTATTTTCACCTACGAAATTGAACTTTGAATTACCTTTAAAATTACGTTTGTTATTTTTAAAATAACTTAGGTTAGAATTTAAGTAATTTAGCATTATCCATGCATGGTCATTCTTGATAATAGCAAAAATATTATTCAACAGAAGTATGTACATTACCACAAATATAGACTTTTCTGAGGTACAGAAACTCTATCTCAATGGACTTTTCTGTTTTGCACTATTTTTGGTAAGCATCCACTCAACATTCCTTTGTAAATAAACATTTAAACCTAAATTGCATGATCAAAAGACAGAAATCTTCTTTGTCCCATTTATGGTTCTTGTTTACTAGACTTTGTTGAGGTTTTTTCCTAAGCTTACTTAATACCGGGTCTTGGACCCTTCCTTTTCAAAGGAGTATCTAAATGGTGATGAAACATCAAGATGAGCTGCAGCTATCTCTTTTTCCTCCAGCAGAGAGGGTGGACCAATTTCTGGATAAGTTTTCTGCCCCTCGTCTCTCAAATGCAAGCAGTCCTGCATGGGAGGCAAATCAGCCCTTTTGAACAGCTTGCAGGATCTGAGTGTATGTCTCCCCTTATCTGACTAGCAGGGATGGGAAGATCTGCAGCCCCAATTCTAGCTTCATGTGAAATTACTAGGCAGCTTACTGCAAATACTTCAACAGATCTTCCAGAGGGAAATTGGTACTGCTGTTTCTTGAGTTTAAGGAAGAAACTAAATAAAAATCTTACAAGAATGAAATTATGCCATACATCATAAAGAGCAGTACAAAGCATCCACATTGTTTGTTCCTTTGCCCTGCAGCTTTAAGAATGGGCAGATACATCCTGGAATACTTAAGTACTTCAGCATAAGCAGGATAAATCAAACCAATCCCAGACCTCTAGTTAATTGTAGTACATACATTAAGCCCTTTCACAAATGAAATTGTGCTGTAGTCAAGACCATTTTGGAAAAGGGGAAAAAAATTACTAAACCAAAGGGCAAAAGTAATGACTCTAAATGGGGCAAAATAGCAGATCTATTGGAAACATGACAAAAACAGGATGTTAAGGAAAAAAATTAAGTGGAGTCAACAAGGTTACACATAAGTAACACCTTAACATTAAAAGAAATCTATTTTCCATTTTGACCTGGAAACCTCTTCCATTAATTACTAAAATCTATTTACACAGCAACTAGATAAAATCAATTTGAGTGCTCACACTATTTTTGGCTCACTTTCTATGGGCTCTGAGCATTCAACAGACTGACTCTAGAGCAGTCAATGTTTAGATGCTCAAAGTTTCCATGTTTTGCCACCTACAACACTATCCTAGCCATGAATTCTGGTATGCGAGCTCTTCTGTACTGGATATGCAGTATTTGGCTCCTGGATCTGTCCCCTTGCCCCCAGCAGAGACATGTATGGAGGCCATGCTTCTTTTCAACCATATATGGAGGCAAAGCATCTCTACTGGTATCTCTACCAAGCTTGTTATGAGGGGTTCTGACATGGCTGAGCTCTCTTACATTAACCAGACCGAAAGCACAGTACGGCAAAAGTAGAAAAGAAAGACGAACAGAGAAAAGTAGGTGGAGGACAGACAGTCCTTGGAGAACTGGGAGAGACACACACCACCTTCTACAATTATTCCCATTCCTCCTAGGAACATCAGGTAGCTTCCAAAAGAAGTGCTATCAATACATTATACATTGATATCAATACATTATTTTTCTTCCAAAGTGGGATTGTTCCGGGTACAATATCCATAAAATTTGTGCCTGTCAGTTCAGCAAAGACAGATATACAAATATGGAAATTTTTTATTCCGTCTTGGCAAACACCTTATGTTAGGTAGGCAGAGTCTTGCACAACAGAAAGTAAAATCCACCTGGATCAGCTGTCCTATGGATGAAGGTGAGCATAGAGGGAAAATTTCTGAGACTCAGGTGTGAGCTTGGCTTTAATCTCAGTAAAAAAAAAAAATGCAGAAATAAACAGACTGTTTAATTAAAAATCATCTTGACCAGGTGACTTTTTTTTTCTTATATCTTGGACAGCTGAACACTACCAATTTATTATTATGATCTTATCAAATTTATGCCACAAGTCAGAGTTGCATTTTCTATGAAGTGATTCTGAGACTAAAAAAAGATGTGCATTTCTCCCTCATACTTAACCAGATTCAAATTAGGTTTTGTGTGAAGCTCCATCTACCTCAGCATATAGACATCAAAGGATCGTATCAATGTTCTTAAAGCATAGCCTGTTCCAGTCTTGAGTGTGTTTTCAGCTATGGTTCTCCAGCAGCAGCTTGTCATTTAGTTAAAGCAATCAAGTTCTCATCAGAGGACAGAAAATTGCTCAAGGCTTGCAAGGCATCCCAAAACAAGCCTGGTTTAATTCTGATTTTAGCCACACCATTAACGGTTTCATCTGGTGGTCTGACCTTGGCTTTCAAGGGAACCTCTGCCGTGTGCTGGTATGGAGCAGTGATGCTCGTAAACAGCAGCAACGCATTTCCCTCTCTAATCTCAGCTGGCAAAGGGTGCTGGCTTCAAGTACTTACTTGAAGGGCTTTTCCCCTGTGTGTGTCCGGATGTGATTGTTGAGTGTTGTGGCACCAGCAAAGGCACGACCACAGTAGCCACATTTGAAAGGCCTGTCGCTGGAGTGTGTAACTACGTGGTTCCTCAGCTCTGAAGGTTGGGAGAAAGACTGGGAGCAGTGACCACACTGGTAGGGCCTGCAATGGGAAAGAGAAACACCGTGCTGTCAGTGCTTTCTATTGACGTCAGAAGGAAATCATATGGGCACAAACATCTGGTCCTCTCAGCAATTTCATAAGAAAACTGCAGGTACACTTCTCTGCGGCTTTCTTAGAAAACACATACCCAAAACTTAATGGCTTCTTTAGTAAATGTGAAATACTTGTACATTTCTGCATTTGATTGAGAGTTTATGGGCATCATGCCTCACAAAACACAGTTCAGCAAGCTAGTGAACCTGCACTAGACATTATTTGCCTGCTTTATTTCTCTCAAACTCAACGTGGTACTCCTTAGCCACAAAAAAACTCCTCACACATCAGAACATCATGAAATCCTCTGTCTGTTGGTGCCAGCTACAGTCTTACCTACAAATGTATGTCTGACTGTTATACCTATATCCTAGGTGGATTCTGTGACTGCTCACAATTAAATTCTTCATACTCTTTTGGAGGAATTCAGGTTTTTTAAGATGACCTTTTTCAAAGAGAGACGTCAGAAGTAAAAACACCGTGTTACAGTTACCTTTCTATTTTCTTACTGCTATTGAAAATATTTGCATTTAACTAACATATTTCTGCCATCCAGAGTGAAAATGCCTTTTTTGAGATCTTAAAATGAAACCCGGAACTTAGGTTTTCAACACCACAATTTGTTAAAAACAAACATAGCAAACAAACAAAACTGACTGATATGTTAAAAATTCAGAATCATAACAAACAGACTGCAAACATAGAAAGAAAAGGATACAAGACAGCAAGGTGAGACAGGACTGCTGAAATGCAAATACCATTGCTAACTAAAATAAAATGTGAAGAAACAATGTCTATATATTTCTGTTTGGTAAAAGTGATTCAATATCAAAATCCTACAGTTTTTTTTTTCCTTTTCACATTTTATTGAAGTTAGCGAAAGAGTCCTACATGCTCATCAGACTTTTTATTAAGAAAATTAAGAATTTTTCTAGAGACATATTAAAGATTTTTACCCTGCACAACATTTTAAGGCGCAGCTCTTGATATCTGCATTTCTAGAGCCAATGGCCAACACCAACTTAATTGCTCTCTCTTTAATAAATGTGTACGTTTAAATGGCTAGAAACCAAAACTAAAGAGAAGGAGACAATGGTGACCAAGCATGTACAATTCAATTAAATGCAAAATAAAGTGAACTATCTCATTTGTCAAGTGAACTGCTTAATTGTGGCTACTTGCATCACTGAACACAAATACTATTATTTTACAGTGCTTCAGAGCACTGAACCCTGATTGTAGAATTTTTTAGCTTGATTAATAGCTCAGTATTAGTCAATAACTCAATAGCTTACAATTTTAATTACTTGCATTTGAAAATCTAACTGTTCTCCAACAAGTTTGAAAGAAATATATAAAAGCTGTGGAAAGGTTACTTAACCTAGATGATGTGGCCCTTAAAAAAAATACATTGATATATGTAAAATAATATTTTAAGAAAAAAATAAGTACTGAATATCTGTTTCTGTTATTGGAAGACAAGTAGTAGCTTGCCCAGTTTTCTCCTTTCCTGAAATGCATATTAATTTGCATAGAAAATATTTATCAAACTTGACATGAAAATTCAAGAGCTGATAAAACAAAGGTGATTTGTGAATACAGACTTATTTGTTCGAGTATTTTCAAATTAAAGACTTTTAAGCAAAAAGAACACATTAAGATATTCTGTATCCAAGAAACATTGATTTTTTTAATAGTGAAAGGGACCATTAACATCTATTAGCCTCTGGTTATCTATTTTTAACAGCTACCACAATAAATGATACAACACTACATAAAACCAATTAATCTTTTATTTTTTTAACAGTCTATGTGATTGATTTCATACAGTGAAAATTCACACCATAACTTGTCTGTAAATAGTAAAAATTCCAAACCAGTTATAACTGAACATTGTGATGTCAACTAAAATGAGTTTACCCCCTACACTGGCTCAAAACAAAAATTATTGTTTACCAAGGTTATTAACGTATGTACTCAGAATATATTTCACTGGGTGATGCTCAAGAAAAAGAGCTGTGTAAAAAATCAGCTATTGTTAGATAACTTTGACTGTGGTTTTTTCCATTCATCTGTATCTTTGTACAACTTATAAAGAAGTTACCCTCCTCTTTGAAGGGGATGCATTTCTCCAGTTTATACACAGGTGATTCTGATCAATAATAAAATGGACAGAATAAGTAATTTTTTCAAGCTAGATACATGGCACACATTAAACAAAGCTCATTTTTTTTTTTAAAAAAAAAAAGGCTATAAATACATTGAAATACTATAATAATTTTAAAATGTTGTATCTAATTTGCACAATTGCAGATTCAAATATGCCAAATTTTGGCAATTTTTGGATGCTACTATTTTTTCCAAGAGCAAAAAAAGTAATCCAATAAGTAAAAAGTTATCATTTTGTTCTCTGGTAACCATTTTACTGAGTTAGAATTTTTTCTTGGAGAAAATAAAATCAATACTTTTTTTTAAAAGAAATGAAAGTGGTGCAGAAGGACTGAACACGAGCAATGCTCGGTTCAGTGAGTACATTGACACAGGCAGAGCAGGTCTGTCTTTGATGTAGCAGTTATGTCTTCTGCAAGCACTTTGGTCTGCACTGGGACAATGAATTAAGATGGTGACCTCTTTATAGCAGAGGTTTGCAGACAGAAGGAACAGGGGCATAGTGACAAAACCAGTGGTCTTCATAGGCTGTATTTTCAAAGCTGTGGTGCTAAACTGAATGCAGTCCCAATCCAGAGAAACTCATTTCCACTGGAATAACCAAGAACATATTGTATCTTGATGAGCTTCAAGATATCCACGTGAATATAAACATAGCTGTGTCCCAGCCCAGATGTGCGTTGATCCTTCAGAAAATTAATGTTCAAACAAAATGGAGTTCAGTCACTTCATATGTGAAAGCCTAGATAACTAACATATTCCTTTGCAGATGTACAGGCAGATTCACACGCATGAAACTAACCAGTTTGATGAAACGGGTGTAGCAGGACCTCGAAGTACGAGTTGACTATCTGAAGAAATTTTTTTTGGTAAAAATTTGTTCACCAGCTATCATGTACCAGAAACAACATAGTTTTGAAAGTCTTCACCATTGCATTTTCTACAAAGGATCTTGTTGGTCCTTCGAGATTAAATCAAGCCTGATCGAAATCTTCTCATATAGTATTCTTAAGTTTCATTTAAGAACAGCTAAACTGATGTATAGCAATGTGCAGATGAGAATAATGTGCTGACAGTCATCAAAAGCAGTTCTAATGTTTGTCATTAAACACCTAGCTACATATTTTTCTAGTTCTCTGTCTTCCTGCCTGAGCTTAGAGAAAGGAAACCTACTTACCTAGATGCAAATTCTCCTGTTAGAAAAATTACAGTGTTGTCGTTAACCTGATGCACCACCAATCAGCTATCCATGTTTACTAACATGCAGCATCCACCAGCTTTTTCTAATGACCCTAGTCGTACAGTGTCTGACTACATGATGACCCACTATAGGAACACAGGCCATTTAAAGGGAAAAGTAGAAAAGAAACTGTAATGTGACAGTTTTCAGGTTTTGTAGTTATTAAGGTTTTGAGCTTTTCCAAGTTTTTCAATATTTTTTGATCCCTAATTGAGACAATCTCTTGAATGATTTTGCTATTTGATCATGTCTTTTCCCATCCTACAATTTTCTCATTTTTGTAGTTGGTTTTTTTTCTGGGTGAAACTACGTCATGTTTAGGACCAGCACAAAACTCATGTTCCCCTATGAGGCTTACTAAACATCACCAAAGCTCATGCTTTGTGCAGGGCATGGGGATCCCTTAACATGCTGTACTGGTTTTGGCTGGGATAGAGTTAATTTTCTTCCTAGTAGCTAGTATGGGGCTATGTTTTGGATTTCTGCTGCAAACAGTGTTGATAACACAGGGATGTTTTCATTATTGCTAATCAGTCCCTACACAGAGTCAAGGCCTTTTCTGCTCCTCTCCTCACCCCACCAGCGAGTAGGTTGGAGGTGCACAAGGAGTTGGGACTGGACACAGCCGGGACAGCTGACCTCAACTGACCAGAGGGATATTCCATACCGTATGATGTCACGCTCAGCATATAAAGCTGGCGGAAGAAGGAGGTTGGGGGACATTCAGAGTGATGGTGTTCGTCTTCCCAAGTAACCATTACTTGTGATGGAGCCCTGCTTTCCTGGAGATGGCTGAACACCTGCCTGCTGATGGGAAGTGGTGAATGAATTCTTGGTTTACTTTGCTTGTGTGCGTGGCTTTTGCTTTACCTGTTAAACTGTCTTTATCTCACTGCATGAGTTTTCTCATTTTTACTCTTCCTATTCTCTCCCCCATCCCATGGGGTTGGGACTGAGCTGTGTGGGGCTTAGTTGCTGGCTGGGGTTAAACCATGACAAATGTACAAAGCGTGTTAACAGACAACAATAGAAAAATCCATATGTTTGCACCTGGAATAGCTGATGACAGACAACTGTACATTAGACTGATTCTTCTAGATTTTCATTTAGCAAAAGTGACATAGTCTTTAATCATGTATCTTGTACTATTCCTCTGCTAGAAATAGATACTTTCCAACTCCTGACTCCTAAGTACATCCAGCCAATATAAACTTATTTTCTACATTGCAAATAATTCATGGTCTGAATTATTAGAATCCTGAAAAATCTTATAATTATTTTCCACTGAATTTACAAATTCTTCCCTTATGATGAACAGGTCTCTAGTGAGGACTCTTCAGAAGTGAATTTGCTGTTTTCAAGGGGCATGTTGAATTCCAGCACAATCCTTAGAAGAGGAATTTCTTGTAATGGTGACCTGTAACTCTATCATAGAAAGACTCATCAGGGAGACAAAATAGCACATTGCTGTAATTTTTTCCACTTAGAAAAAGCTAGAAAACTGCTAGCTAGAATAAGAGAGACTAACATGCAGTTG